AATTGGAGAAAGGCTTTAGTTTGTGGCTGTCGCGGCTGTGAGTTTTAAGCCGGGAACCTCAAAACCCGCCCCCTAAATCTCTATACACGGCTTCTAGGAGATTGAAAGGAGTGTTACCAAGATGTAACTATTATTATTTCCCTTGTTAATAATGAGCAAGTTTACTTAAGAGATTTGACTCTGCAAGATTGACTCTGGACTCCATGTCCAACGCCCATCAAGATCTCAGTAACCCCTGATGTCACTGACATGACAAGATCTCGTCACCACGCTGCCATGCCACGGTAAGGCGTAGGATGATCACACACACGGTGGATCGTTATCTCGGCATGTATTTACGGTTACTAACGACAAACTATTCTGGCCGGGGGTGATCCAGGTACCCGCGACACATCTTAGCGCTCGCTAACAAGGCCCGGAAGTTTGATGTCGTGCAGCCGAGGGCCAGGACTAAGATCACTAGTTTGATATGGATCAGCCTTGTTTCTGATGATGTTTGTCCGATGAGTATTAGCGAGAACTAGTCGAGGAACGTTGTGGAAATGACAGCTTCCCGCTTAATTGCCGAGATGATTTGTGTTCTGACGTGAGATCTTTCGGGGGAGGATATGAAGATCCAAAGAGCCTCTTCGCAGCGTCAGAGCTCGGCTGAAGATATTTCTGAGCACCATCGTGGCTGAAATTGAACGATCTTTTGCCAACTCAGAGATACTAGGCCTCGCAGAAGGTGCCATCCCAGCGCATCACCACCCCCTTTCAGCAGCCGCCATGCCTCCATAAGGCAATCTTCTCGTCACAGCGGCCCCACGACTCGCCCAACCAACACTGGCGATGTCAGAGATAACAGGGAAGTATCGACTTTGGCCAACAGAAAGATGGGATACAAGCCGTGTACTTGTCTCTCGAGACTGGCCTCCACAACTCGATGCAGTGTGACAACTCACGAGTGTACTCCGGGGAGACTTCCGGAGAACAAACACTCTGAAAAAAGTGCACAAGTTTGCTTTCTTGGCGGCTATTCAGTCTGAGAGAGATGGAATGGGCCTCGTGAATCGTGGGACGTGGGATATGCTGTCCTCAAAGTCGGCCTGCCAGGAGAGGAGTTGAGTTGAGGATACAAATAGTCCGCTCTGTTATCTCGAAAAGTGAAGTTATACTCGACGAAAATCGAGAGAACTCGAGAAGTTTACACCAAAATTCTATCTATCTTCTACCCTTAACTAGTAAATTCTTTGTTTTATACCCAGCAATGGCTACTCTCAGGGGCACCACTCAGGACTATGCAACTGCCATCCAGCCCTCTGAAAACGATGGCGTTCTTGATGTAAACTCTGAACTCCTCAGGGAATCACCTATCAAGAATTCCAACTCCTCCAACGCCGCACTGACTGGTCCCCTAGTCTGGTCCGGAGCAGACTATCAGGGGGACCAAGCTTACACTCTCCGTCTTAGCGGCGAGGAAGCTAAAGAAGTCGACAGCGCCCTCGCTAGTTTCAAAAGTTAGATCTCCTACTACTACGTATGACTCGGGAAATTAAATGTTTGCTAACGGGTGAAACTAACTAGCTCTTGGGCTCGACGGCGACGAAGTCTCCCCTGATAACTTCCCTCTCCCAAACCTGTCTCGTCGTCTGCGTGCGAGCGCCGAGACTCTTCATCTCGGAAGAGGCTTTGTTGTCATTCGTGGCATCGATGGCGAGAAATACTCTGTCGAAGATAGTGTTACTATCTTCTTGGGTGTAGCTGGCTACATTGCTGATAAACGCGGGCTCCAAGACCGCAAGGGTAACATGCTATGTACGTTTCCGGAAATCCAAACCTTCAACAAACTCCCAAGTCCCTTCGCTTCTATTATTCAAGAACCATCGGCTTTATCTAACGTTTTCAGCTCATGTAACCGACTCTAAGCAATGGAAGACTCCTGCCGACGCGCGTCATGGTATTCATACCAATGGGTCTCTGGTATGTTACATCAACTCCACGAAGATAATACCCTACTTACTAGTTCCAGCCGTTCCACACTGACATGGGATGTGACATCCTATCCCTTCAAGTTCGAGACAGCGCCAACAAGGGAGGATATACCTATCTCAGTTCAGCCTGGACTGTCTTCAACGACCTGCTCAACCGCGAGCCAGAAGTCGTCAAGACACTCCTGACTCCCAACTGGCCTGTCCAGCTGTAAGACAACTACACCCCCTACCCAGAGTGAAACACAACTAACAAATTGTTTCAAATAGATCGGGCCGTAAGGCTTCATACTATCTCGCTCCTGTCTTGACATTCCACGATGGCAAACTCCTCGCGAGCCTCGACCCGCATCGCCTCGGGCCGCACCCGAGCATGACGAACTCGAACATTCCCTCTCTTTCAGAGACTCAAATCCATGCCCTTGAAGCTGTCTCAGAGGCTGCTTCTCGTGTTGAGTTGCAGCTAAAGCTTGAGACTGGAGATCTCCTGTTCTTCAACAACCTCGCCCTCGTCCACCGCCGAGACGCCTACACTGACGACGATAACTCGTCTCGTCATATGGTTAGACTCTGGCTCCGTAACCAGAAATATGGATGGGCAATTCCTAAGGGTATGCTTCCTCCTTGGGAGGCTGCCTATGGGGAGAACCGCAAGATCAAGGCTAGACACTACCCTATTGTGCCCATGGTGGAATACCCTGTACAGAAGTACAATACCAGCTCTGCAGCCTTTATGATCGAGGACTCTGAGACTTCAGATGAGGAGCAATGATTCTCAGACAACTCCACGCTTTTTGATTTTGTCTCTGCTCTGAGACCCCCAGTCATTTCCGAGTCATGTCCTGTTTTAGTTTATCAAGAGTTTTGAGAGTCTATCTACTGTCGTTTCCTTAGGAATAGCCTACTATAGGTCACTATGCAGGACTATATACCAGCTATTAGTCGCTCATTGGAGAATACAACCAACAACCAACATCCTGCAATACTGTTATCTCGAGAGATCATGTCACGTGTCGGTGTCATGTGAGAATTGGAGATAAAAACCCTCTGTTGGTTGTTCCCCTTCCAACTCTCTTTTACATTCCTGTCTTTTGCTTCTCTGTCTCTTTATACGTTCTCGTATTCATCTTTAGATCTTTATTTCTGTTTAAGACAATCGTTGGCGGAACGCTCCTCCCGCCGTACCAAGGCATGCTCCCATCTACCACTATATAATCAAACGCCTATGGAATGACACGGCACGACGACACCAGAGCAGGCAGGAGATTATCCCCTATGGCGTCCTTTCACTATGACGCCAATATCGTATCACTACCCTTGTACTTGTGTCAGCTGAACTACAGTCCCTAATAAACCTACCCGGAAACTATTGAGCGTTGCAACTTCAACCGTTCCCTTAGGCGAACGATAAATTATCTCGATGAATAGAATGGACTGAAACCAGAATCGACGCCGCTCGGCAAACCAAACCAACTAAAGAAGTGATATGCGCGGGAATGGCTTGGAGTTTATATTAGCCCCAAGCTAGTCGTTATCCCTGTGTGAGAACAGACGGTAAGATCATTTCCTTTCTCTCGCTGAAATCTGACAATTGAAAAGTGAAGCCTCTAGGTCACACCAGCAGAAGCAAATCTCACGATCCTTTCCACTTTGGAGAGGAACCCGACTCTTTGCGAGATTACAAGGTTCCTTTTCAGTATCCTCCTCGTCTCGGCCTTCATCTCCATCAACTGCCGAAGTGAATCACAAACATGACCTTTTCCAGTCCTGCAGATCTCGACTCCTATACACATATGTGACATCGTGGATATCGTCGACTGGAAACAGCCGGTTGCGGGCCGTGCTGACGTTCTGGTTCGATGTCTCGGCACAATCTCTCGAGATTGACGATCCTACTGGCCCCTGTTATGTCCTGGGATATTTCAATACCCGTGTCTCAGACATTCGATCACGCCCTTTAATTATCCACTTTCGCGTTGTTTGAATTTCTCCGGTCACGAACTTGCTGTTGATCGTCGAGCTGTCAAATTTTCTACCCCATAATATGTCTCAGCTCCTTCACGTGAGAGTTTGGACCTTGTCGTACTCTGAAAATGGAGCCCCCACGAACGGAGGGTTTGTTTGGGTGGCTCTTGGGATGTGATTATGTTTGATATTGTTCTTGAAACCCCCAATTGCCTTTTGTATTCCACGAATGTGGCTTTACTCTCATCTTGCACCTACAGGCACACACCCAATGCCATTGAAACTTCTGTAGTGGCTGACAAGACTAGCTTGCTCGTATAGTATGACGTTGATCCATCTCTGGAGAAGACTATTTCGAATAGCCTCCTGTCACAATCCATGCCATGACCTCTCGGCACGGGTAATGCGTAGTGCGTGCCAGATGAACCCACAGCATGTACCAATTGACCACTCAGGTTGACCGGCGAGGACAGAAGACGAGCTTTATGGGTCCCTAGAGACCCCTTGCCGTGTCTCTGATTGGCTGAACATTTTGGACAGGGATATCGGTACAATCCAATCCTTACTAGGGACGATCAATCCTCGCTGCAAATCTCGACGCTTGAACCATAACCCACATGAGTTGGTCTAAACACCAGAAGACATGAGTTTTGTAAGACCTCACATTTGTGAGAAGAAAGTGGTGGAATTTATACAGATTTGTTGTGATCTTGGATTGTTGCTCAAGATGATAAGCTGCAGCTGCGAGCAAGGATTATCTCAAGGATGTCTCACACAACGGCCAGGGACTGGTAGACGTCGACGCCCCTGCATCCCCCCTTCAGACCAGGTTTCGAGGGCAACGAGTGGATGATTCCAGGGCACGTTCCCTCAGGGAGGCTACAATCTTGCCTCCTGCGTTGTCACTTCACCACTTCTACTGAGCTGTCGTGTGACTCGAGTTTGTGCTTCACAAGCCAGCGGCATCCCCAATATCGGGCATATCGGTAAAGAACGTGCATGCACTCGACAGCTTTGCCTGCACGGGACCTTGCGCTTCATGGGTCTTGGGACCCAGGTGCCAGAATGGAGCTTTTCACTCGTCCAGCTGATGAGATCCACGTAAGTAAGAGAGGATGAAGATGAACGAACCAGACTCCACCAGCTCAGCTCAGCTGTCGGGCCTCAATTCGTGTAACGTTTTGAAATAAGGATGCCTACCAGCTTCGGCAATTTTGCTCACCAGGAACAACGCCTAAAGGCACCCCTGTGAGAATTGTGCAGTAGGCCCTGTTGGTGGGTGTCGGTTCGATGCTGTGTAACTGAAAGGACCCCGTTTCCAAGCCATGAATTCATTTTACCCTGTCTAAATATTTTGGGTACTTTCTTCTAACAGGTCGATCCAGACAACTCGGAAGCGGCAGAATACGGGCACGGGCGCTGGGCCGAAACCAAAACGTCACTGCTTAAGCTTGAACCAACAGCGATTTGATAGTGGTAAGTGTTGGTTCGACAGTGGCACTGACACAGTTCTAACGGTTATGCAGATAATGAAGATCGTGTGTCGGGGGCAGTGTCCAAGCCTGGATGTGCTAAGCGGCAGGATCCAAGCTCTTCGTCGCAGTCCAGCGTATCGCCAGACTTTGCTCAGCAACCTGGACACCCCAGGTCAGACAATGCTACTTCTAGTGGCACTTGCACAGGGGGCGTGTATCCTCGTGGGAGTGTCGGTGCTGTCAATGTTCAGGGCTTGGGGAGTCCTCCTCAGGATCTTCCATCACCCGAATGCTCTCTCTCAACATCATCTGAACAAGCAAATCCACGCCATGGAAGTCACGCTACCCCTCTGCATCCGACAATCTCATCCGGACACGGATTAAGCCCCGAGAGTTCAGCTTCGGACTCCGATTGCAGCTCCAGTCCCAGCTCTAGCGAGTCTTCGGGTCCTGCTTCTGGACAACCTTCGAGTCAGACACTCCGGAGCCAGCCCCCACCAGAAGTATCTTCTCTGAACAAAGGTACATGTCCTGTTACTTGTTCAAATGAAGAAGCTTCTCGTTCAGTCAATGGCAGCCAGTTAATCTCTCCACCTGGTGACGATGCGGGTCACCTACGGACGGACAGGACAGTGCTAGAGCTAGACTTGCCCTTGAGGAGGGGTGCGGAAGATGTACCTGGCTCTTCAGTCTCTCCGGATACGCTGGGAGACTCCCCGAGTCAAGAAGTCCAAGCTCAGGTTGACCTCGGTCGAAACTCTGATGATGACGACGACTCAGATCACTCAGACACCCTTGACCAGTTAGAGACTGATTTCAATGATTTGCTGTCTCTCAACCCTGGAAGGCCCACCACTGGCTCGCTCTCAAGAGACGAGGCCATTGCTAGCAGACTTCAAGAAAGGGATTCTGATCTTGAAGTCTGGGAGGCTGCTGAAGGTGTCCCTGCGCCTGATACAGGTCATGATAACATTAGCCGCCCAGGAACCCGCCCGACTGGCATCCGACGCGCCCTCGCTACTGCGCACTCCCCCGAACCCAATCGTCCCTCTGAAACAAGCGATGAAGACGATACCGAAAGCGTTGATGACACATGTAACGGTTTCAGTGGGAGCAACGGAGTAGATGATGATGAACGGATTGTCCAACTAGAAGATCGAGAAGAAGTTAATGAAGAGTCTGATGCAGGCAATGATCTTCTTGGACAATTAGACGAAATTGTAGCCGATCACTCAGATTCGGACTGCTGCGAGACACATGCTCATCCCCTGGGCACTCTGTCCTCTTCAGACAGCAATGATTCAGATGAAGAGGGCAGACCCCAGAATGAGTCATCCGACGACGAGGAGGTATCGGAAGAAGAGATTGGGTATATCTCGGACGCTCGCGACACTAATGTTGAAATCGAAGACGAAACAAGGTCGGCTAACTTGAATATTCCATCATCTTCGACAAACAGCATCGTTTCCCCAAGTGAAACAACTAGCTCTGGAAAACTTCCCCTCGCACTCGACACACTCGATAAACGTGAGGTTGTAAAGATCACACGAGAGCTCGGCGCTTGTGTTCGTTGTCGGTTCCAAAAAATCAAAGTACATACGCATTCCCTCTGTCCCTTAATTGTTCACACTAACATGGAATGAACAGTGCATTATAGACGAGCAGAACCCAGAAGGACAATGCAAAACGTGCAAGAACTTCTCCAAGACGTCGCTAAAGACAATACACCGCGTTCCATGCTTGCGACTCCGAATTGCCGACGTCATTCTTTATCGAAGCGGCGGGCTCAAACTCACGAAACGATGGGAGGGCATCGAAATGCGAGATATTGGGGATCGACTCGATACGGTTGCTGTCACGATTGAAGTATCACAGAATCTTTGTGATAAACCTCTTCGAATGAACGTTGTGCGATTCAGACCCATTGACGGGGACGTGACTGCCCGATATTGGACTGATGGCCTTCTCGGGAAGGAGACGTTCAAGAAGAAGGAACTGGCCAACTACTGCCTTGAAAATATCTACGACACGGCCGAAAGCGTGCGACAATACACAATCGACAATTGTCTTCCAGCTTTCTATCACACCATCCAAGAGGAGAGTGAATCAGAAGCTAGAGAAGAGCCCATTATCAGAACGTACCTCACGGCCATGGCTCGCTACCTGGACCTTCACGTACGTCAATCCAGTCCCGACACGAGCCTTACGCTGACACCCTCGCAGAACGAATATAAATCCAGCGGGAGCCTCTCTAAAAACGATGAAAAAGAGCTTCAGATATTCGGCAATCTTTTTATTCTCTGGTGCGCCATCCGTAAGCGCTCCCCTTCACCCCAGCTCCAATTGCGTCCCACTCTAATCCCGCCCAGAACACACTGTAGGGTCCCTCTACATCGAAGGCAAGGAGACTCTAGGCATGCTCCCCGAAACCGAAGACAAATCCTACCCTCTTTACGGCAAAGTGTCTGTCCCTCGCATGGTAGTCGCCCAATTCGACACCCTCAATTACAATGAGGTCCTCGAACGGTACAAGGAGAAGCTTCTACGCGACATCGATTGGCTGTTCAGCCAGGACAAGAATCGATGGTGGTTCACAATCTACCTCGTCGTCTTTATACTCCTGCGCGAAGCGAGTCGTATGACAGCAGATCGGTACCGACATGCGAGAGCTAACTATGGATCAAGGGTATGGCTCCCCCAACCCTCAAAGGACGTAACTAACACGTAACAGTTGCGATACTCGATTCCAGACTTTGTCGAGGGGCTTCATGTCAGCTGCAACAATATACTCATCCACTGGCATTACTACAACTACGACCAGTGGCCGACTACTCGGTCGTCGGGGCTCGCCAATGGCGTAGCAAAAAATGACCACTTTGAGACTCTGGCACCCAAGGATCGGCACCTTGTCAAACAGAATCTCAAGGACCCAGCGGTAAAGAAGCATCTTCTAGTATGGAAGCAATACAAGAGTGATAATGGAAAAGGTCTGCGATGGCCAAAAACCCTACCATGTAGCATATTAGTGCTAACCGACCGTGCAGTTCCAAAGATTACTCTCCAACACGACACCGGATCCATTCGCTACACAGGAGAACAAAACAAGTACGATTGGGATCATCCTTTGTATTGGGTATCGCAAATGTTTGAGATAAATTGGTGCCCGCATCCGACGTATACGAGAGAACCAGAACCTAAATCAACGTTCATGTCTATCACGGCCGCTGTCGCCGCGGCCGGCTAAGCATGAAGCCAACCGAACACTCGACGAGAACATACGATACGAGGCTTGAGTCAACCAAATAACGACCGATACGAATCTTTTGCTACATGAATTTTAGTATTACCAGCAGTCAAAGAGCTTGCAATGGTGGAAGAGTTGGAAAAACGGTACAACGCCCAGGAGTGATAGACACATGAGGGCTCGAACAAACATACACGGAGACAACAATAGAGTATTCTAAGCAGCTTTTATTCTATGCAAGCGATACGCTGATCTATGCCTAGATCCAATCGGAAACCCGCTGACTCTAAGCCTCTCCTCTGTTTCCTGTAGTTATCGCTGCTTCTCGCTGTGCTTCCTGATGCTCCCGTGGTCCAAACTCAAAACAAAAATCTGGTGCCATCTACGTGTGGTCAAGATCTCATAAATCTGTGTCGGTGTCTTGTGATGTCCTATTCTGTCCCCCGAACCAACCAAAAGGTTCCCACCATCTTTACCAAGACATTCTTTGTGATGAGTGAAACTGAATTGGGCTTCTCTTCTTTGGGATAGGAGGCATTCCCCAGTTGTCCTCCAGGTCATCCCAGCCCTCGTCGACATGAGTCGCGTAGCGCAGGGAACTTCCGAGGCCTTTGGTTCGGAGTCGAAGCGGTGAGTTGGCAGGATAGGTGTAGATGGCCTCCTTTCTCTGGTCCTTGGCATGATCGATCTCCATGATATTGGCAGTCAGGAAATCACAGAAGTGAGCGGCGTCATCGATGCGAAGCTTCAGCTCCAGGAGATGTTCAGCGGTGACACAAGGGTAAAGTCCCAAGTTAATCAGATTATACCGCTTGACGGCCGCCTCGTGCGTATCCTGATCTTTGAGTCGTTGGCGGAGGGGTCTGGGTGCACGAGTGTTATAAAACACACACCAGACCGCAAAGGCCTTATCAAAGAACTTTTTATACTGGTCAGCCCAAGTAGGAGGAGTGTCAAAAAGGGTGCTGGGTCGTCTATACATAGGAACGTGAAGGTTGTTGGGCCCGACGGGTTGGTCTTCAACTTCCCCGACAGAGTTGGCGTCTGCCTCCCCGTCTTCCTGAGTCGCTGTCTCGTGACTCTCAGCAGCCTGGCTAGGGTTGTCAGCGTTGTTGGGAGAGCCAGCCACTCCGTTGTTGTAAGGAGCACCCGGGGTGTTCGTCAGCCATTCTGATTCTGGGCTGTTGCCCTCTGGGTTATCACCTGTGTTGGTGCCCTCTGAATCGGTGCCCTCGGTATTGACACTTGACGAGGGTTCAACGTCCATGGGTTGACCCAAGGACTGACCATTCCCTTCTTCGCTGCTTCCGGGATCATTTGTAAGAAACTGGTTGGTAGTTCCCGAACTCTCCGCTGTCGTGGTGTCAACGGGAGAAGCCTGAGCAGGAGCGGAGGCGCTAGACAAAGCGGCAGCCAGAACCTTCATATGGTGATTGAAGTTCTCATCCACGGCGGCCTCAGCATCGGATAGGTTGGTGTTTCCGGCGTTCTCTTCAGATCCAGTGTCGCCTTGCGAGTCAGCGGCGTCTTCCTCCTCCACGGCTTTAGCGCTTGCTGCAGCTTGCGCCTCCCACGGGTCCTCGCCATCACTCTCTCGATCTTGGCCAGACTCGTGCTCAGTGGTGGCTTCACTATCACCGTCCGAGCCATGCTCCCATGAGTCAGAGCCAGCTTCATCACCATCAGTGTCCTACTCCGATGAGATGTCGCGGAGACTCTCAGCCTCCTCAGGAGTTTCCGGAGGCAAATGGACGAAAGAAGCATACAAGCATACATCCTTGGACGAAGCAAACACGATAACGCGATTTCGGAGAGTGACAAGAAAGTCAAGCTGCTTGAAACCATCCCTGACGGCCTTTTTTCGCACAGGCTCAGGCATCTTGGCCGTGTGATGAAATCGCAAACCCCATAGCGACATGATGAACAGCAGATCACAGATAGGGCTGAGTGTGTCTGGAGCAAGGTTAAACACTTCTCGTTGAGCAAGAGGAGAGCACACACACCTGATGAACTGCAGAAGCGGCGGCGACGAGGGAGCCGCAACTCAGATCTTGAAAAAGCAATACGTTCAAAAATATAGAGAACAAAACTATGCTCTAGCTGATGTTTTTGGTGTTATTTTTTGGGTTTTATGAAGAGACAGGAAAAAGCGAAGTGGAGGTGGGATGTGGGATGTGAGGAGAGGGTTTATGTGGGAGCGAAGTTGCAAACGGGATGCAAGATAGAGATTACGTTTACAACCCCGCGGAGCAACAAAAAGGCAGAAGCACTGGTTCGTAAGCTATCGATAAGATGCAGATGACTGCAAGCCCAGAAGTGGTCACGGGAGTCAGCAAACACTTATTGGAAGCGAGTTACTGGGCACCGGGGAAAGAGTAGATGAGTTCCTGAATGTGATGCCAACGCCAGTGACAAACGGCAAACCAGAATGTAAAACGACATCACAAACGAAGAGGAGAACTTCTATTGTCTACAGAGCATGTTCTTTGGGGCTATAGAGGCACAATGGCACGCTTGGGGGGGTTGGTGCTGCTGGAGGGGGAACATGGCAGTGCCGTAGCGGGAGTGGGAGCAATGGCCTGGAGCAGCCACTTCGTCTTTTTCGCCTCAACAGTCACTAAATCTTTCCAATTTCTAGAAAAACAATGAAAGGAACATGGGTTCACTTCTGTAATGCCATATTAGTCTTAGCAGTCGTAGTATTTGGTGCTGATATCTGGGTCGAAAGGAGCAGTGCATTGCCTCGTTGCTGTTCTGCCAGTGGGGAAGAAACTGCAGCAAAAGCAGCTAGAATCTGCACTGCAAAGAGCCTGAAGACTGCATTTCAACTGTACAATGTCCCTTAATCTTTGTTGTTCACACGTCCAACTACATTACTGTTCAAGCCACATCCTCTAATCCCTTTGTTGTATCCCTGTTCACTCCCTAAAGAATACATCGAAACAAAGCTAAGCTGGTATAATACTCAAAAAGACCAAAGACCAGATATACTAACCCTCAGACGCTCCACGATATCTTGCGATTCCTCCGCTTCTAGCTTCCCTCGTCCCGCCGTAGGAACATCTCCACGACAGTCCGCGCTCGATCCCTCGACCCCTTTTCCTTTTCGTCTACACGACAGACCAGAGGCCCTACTATCTCGGCATATCTACGTTCACGCATCTTGCGCTTCTTGGTATCCTCGTCCTCTGCGTTGCCGCGGCGGAAGCTCAGACGGCGGGAGAGACCACCTTTGGGTTCGTTTGTCACGGAGGTGAGCTCTGATGCTGCGCGGGAGAGAGTTGCTGTGAGGAAGACGAATGCAATGTTATGGTTTGGTGCTGATGAGAGGATATCCAGGATCTGTGTCTTGGTGTCGGACCAGGCGGTCATTGGTAAGGATGTCACGTTGGGTAATGATGTTGAGATCTTGGCCCAGAGTTGAGTCGGGATCAGACCGTCCGTGAGAGATTCGAGGAAGAGTAACAGAATGGATGAGACGGCTTCTAACTTGAACGACGCAGGCCATTCCAATGGGAGCGCATCAAGAAGAGAACCATCATTGTCCAGGGCAGACACAAGCTTGACCTTTGCATCCTGCATATCCGCCTCTCCAACCCTCCACGTCGAAGCCTCAAGGGGCCATCCAGGATCCCGCGGCAGCACTTCCTCCTCAAGCATCGTTGCTTCAGCCAGACTTCGTTCAACAAGCGTCTGTACCACCTCAGTGAGCTTGAAGAGCTCCTTGGGCGCTGAGCAATGGATATCCGAGTCGTAAGCAATCGCCCCCTTGATACCCGACTTCTCGACAAACTTTCTGATACCGCCGTCAGGGATTCTTATCAACTCTGCGATAGAGCGCCCTACGCAAGACGGTTGCCAGATTCCGCGCACGGGAATGAAATGGTCCCGACCGTCCTCTATGCGAAGAACCAGGACCTCTTCGACCTTGGCGCGCGCTTCGTTCAATGCCCGGATGTGAGAAATGGCCGATACTTGGAGCTCTAGTAACACCAATGCTGTTTCTCCTGGATCAAGTGTAACTGTTTTACCCAATAGCTCTTGAGACTCTTCATCTGCTGACAAGAATGTGGTCTTCAGCCATACAGGGATAGCATCATCACCGTCTTCTGTCGTCGGCTTCGTCACAAACGAGAATGTCGCGGGAACGCTACCAGTATTTGCAACTGTCAGATGCCGAATCTGCTTTTCGAGGGGTGTAACCTCTCCAAAATCGACGATATTCTCTTCATTGCCATCGCTGCCTTCCACGACAACCGTAATGCCTGGTCGGCCTTCATTCTCAGCTCTGTCTAGTTCTCGCGCCACTTCTGCGTGGATCTTGGCCTTGAGCTCCGGTACAACAGCATCGTAGTCGAGCGTAAAGATCGAAGTGATGGGCTTGTGATCAGACGATGTGATGCGTTGGTGCGAGGCGTATATCTCCAAGTGTATGCGGTCACGGAAGCCCTCCTTTGTAACAAGCTCCTCAGCTTCAGGGTCATCATTATCCTCGTACTCATCGTATCCCAAAGTGTCAGTTGATGACATTGGATCCTCTCCGTCAGCGTCGGGGTCATAACTAAACAGCACGTCCTCGTCCTCCTCGAGCCCCCTGGACTTCATCTCTGCATCTTTCTTCTTCGCCTCTTCCTCATCTTTAATCTTTGTTTCATAATCTTGTTTATCTTTTCGTGTTCTAAATAAGATACGGTCACACCAGCTTGGAGCTCGTTGCTTCTCACTTGAGTCAAAGAGGCCAACTGTACCAATATCGTATTTGTATGTTGGTAGAAAGGTGATTGACCCTTCTTGCCAGCCATCGTGGAAAGCTTTCCGTTGCTTGATTACCCTCCGTAATTGATCATGCGGTAGCAGTGAATCGATGGTGGCCTGCAGAGAAGCGGGATCCTGGCTTGGATCTTCGGGGAAATCGTCAGGGTCTGGTAGATCGTCTGCAGTATCAAAGCTCTCTTCCCGTGAATGTAGTGACACTCTTGTAGAAGACTCATCATCGCTGTCAGAACCCTTCATGACAATAACACCTCGCTCGTCGAGAGGCTTCGAGTCCTCGTCTGCACCATATTCACCTCTAGCATGCAGCGTGAGCAGTCGTCGGATATCGTCGCCAGGTAGTCCATCTAGTCGAAAGTTCAAGTCTCCGAACCAGAATGCCAGATCTTCATCTCCAATCTTTTCGCCGTCATCTTCCTCAACGCCCGAGTGAACGATCGGGTCGAATTGAGTGCGTGAGAGAACCTGGCTGACATCCCAACATCGCCGGTCCAAATACGAAGAGCCAGCACCACTAGCCAAGTGGCTATTTATAAAAACCATGCGAGTTGTCTCGCCAAGCAGCAATCGCGTCGTCACGGCCCCCTTGTTTCCAAAATAGCCTAGCAGGCCCGTACCAACTTGTTTAGTACTGACGTTGCTAATAGTTGATGCAATTTCTGGAGAAGCATAGACCAGCAACAACAAGCCAGTCATTTGTTCCGCAGTGATAAGTTCGTATCCTTTAGGCAATGCTGCTTCCAATGCCGCTTTCCATTTGTCCATAACACTTGTGTCCGTATATACTGCTCGATTCATATACTCCTTGGTCGTGTTGAGGTCTACTATTTCCTGAAGTCCCAGCACATAAAGACCAATATCACCCCCGGCAGTCAAATGCGGCTTCGACCTGCCAGTGTCCGTGTCATCCGTCTCCACGGCACTATTTTGTGAGAGATTCAGTGACGTCAATTGCTGATCCAAGCCTTCGCCGTGTGTGAACCAGGTCGCGAGGTCTTTATCGGTACCCGTGCACGCAGCAACGTTCCACGTCCCGATCTTGACCTTTAGGCTATGTGGACGCACGAACTCGGATCGTCGGGCATGAACAGCTTTAGCTAGAGACTGAGGCGTCGTCGAGGTGGGATCCCCCAGTTCAGAACCAGGGGACTGGTCATTTTCGTCGGCCATGGACGCCGTTACTACAGTATTTGACGAGAGAGACGAGTTATATACACGGCGCCGTCTCGAGATATCGCGGGGAGGTCGATTTGTAGTTCTCTAGATCATGACTTCGAACAACCTAGCTCTACCGTAGGCGCAAGGCAAGGCAAGGCAGGGGATGTTTGGGTCGTGTGAGCACCAAAAGAATGTTGAGCTAATTAGAGAAAGGGATAAAAAGGGAGATAGACCTCAGCTTTAAACGTATGACGTCGAGCTGCACGGCTGCCGTAGTCTAATGTTAAAATGGTGGTGTAGGAACCTACCTAGGGTCCAGCTCAGCGCCCCGCGGCAGCGTCATCTTGCGCCTTATCGATAAGCCCAGCAGCGCCCAAGCATGCGCACTCGTGCCTCTCGTAGAGTAAACTTCAATCTCCATACCACAACCAACTGTCGATCACACGATCATCTTCTGGGGTCTTGATATCATACGTACATGGCCCATCAGTCTTGATCTATCATTTGTGACAAGGCTACCCGTATTTCCAACTAGCGATCACGTCTCCACATACACATCGTGCCCATCATCAAACAACAACAATAATCATCATGAGCCGACAAACACCACGAAAGGCTCGCCATAGCCGTCAGCCGTCAAACCGTATCCCCGCCGTTTCCGATTATGAATCCGATGCCGCTGCTATACATGCCGATTATGCGCCGCCACCTCCACGCACTAATACTGAGCTTAATCTCTCTGTCCTCCAACGTTACCTCCCCTCCATCCACACCATCCTCAGTATAGCCGCCAACGCTGTCATCTACACATTCAACAGCGCTTCAGAAAGCTGGGAGAAGTCGGGAGTCGAAGGCACTATGTTTGTCTGCGCGCAGAGTCCGCTCCCTGAGGACCCAGGTCAGCGAGCACGAGCTTGCGTGTTTGTTCTCAACAGACGGGGACTTGACAACGTGATCGTGGACCTCTCACGGGTCACACATGCAGAGGTGTCTGGGGAGCTTGTCATTATGAAGGTTGAGGGCGAATGGCAGGAGGGTGACAAGGTACTGGGAGTGTGGATTCACAACGATAAGGACGAAACACGAGAAGTAAACGCTGCCATCATTCAGGAAGCTTGGAAGATTGCACGGTCGGCGGGTCCAGTTGAACCACAAGGTCCCGAGGCTGGTCCAGCTATGCAGGCTATGGGTAAGAGGCTGAGTCTGAGTGATCTGTTCGGATCAGGAAATGGTCTCAATATTGGACACTAGGTGTCGTCCAAGGTGCATCAAAAGTCTGAGGCTGAGGAATCGAAGAGCGAGAGATCTAAGGAGTCAAGAAGATCTGAGGTCTCGACGAGGTCTGGGGAATCCAAGAAGTCTAAGATCTCAACAAGATCTGATGTTTCACTCAGATCGGGGGGGTCAACGGTGTCGAGAAGGTTCGAAAAGCGCGGGAAGCCATTTAAGCTTATGAAGGTAAAGGCACCTGAGGACTCCGATACAGAAAGCGAAGCTGGGAAGTCAGAGTCAGGAGAGTTGGAGCGGGTGCAGTCGGTTTATCATATTCCAGAATCTGAGAAGTCGGAGTCTCCGGGGTCGGAGTCCGAAGTTGACACCGAGTACGAAGTTGATGCAGAGTAGAGCTCCCACAATATCAGTTGGTTTTCGGTCTCAGGAGTATGGGGATGTAACCAACCGCTTCAGCTTCAGCGTTTACATGGACACGGGCTAGAGCAGTCCCAATAGCTAGTACTTGCACAGTTTTCGCCTGAAAGGCAGGGCACAAAAGCCCAATAATGAAGAATCACAGCGGTCTGCACAAAAGCATGCGTTTCCATAAGCCCACAATGGACTATGTCTATTTGTGCATGATATTCATGACGTTAGCAAGTATCTACAAGCAGAAAGCACCTATACGCCGTTTCCCCCCAACCGGATAAGTTGTAGAAGCCAACCCAAAGCCTAGACCGTGCCGCTGATGCTCAACTCCCGAATCTCCTGCAACACCTGCTCCACTCTGGCGTCTAGTTGTCCCTCGGCATACTGATCTCTGGTGTCAGCATCAAGGTACTGCTGCACTTGCGCCATACGCGAATACGCCTCCGCGCAGAAACGCAGCTGGATCTTGACGAGGGCTTCGAAAGTGGGGTCGAGGTACGGCACGCGGAGATCGATAAGTTGGGGTAGCTCGGTGCTGAGTTGCTCGTTGAGCTGCTCGTAAGCAGCCTTGGCCATCTCCATCTCCTTCTCGGTCCGGGGCAGCTTCGTGGCGTCCTTGTCGGGCTTCTCGGCGAGGCGCTTCACCTTTGCGCGGAGGGCGTCGTAGTCGAGCAGTTTGTGAGCGCGCTTCTTAATCGCCTCGTTGACGTCGGGGAAGTAGGCGCAGAACCGTGTGATGGGGTCGAGGACGGTTGTTCTGTAGGGGCCATCGAGGGCTTTGATGGTTTCGGCGTCTAGATCTTCGACGGCCTGCTTGTAACTTCTGCTGACACCGTCTTTCGCGCCTGAGTCGCCGTAGAACGCATCTATCGTCTCGGCGATTCGCATTTGCGATGCGGTCATGGCTGAGTTCGGGGTTTTAGTATCGAGCTTCATGTGCCGCAGATCATGAGCGTACCTCTCAGGGAGTCGAGATATCCCTTTGATTCCTTTTGTAGTCGCAAAGCAGCAGCTTCCATTGTCTTGAATCGTCTGTTTTCGTTAGATGTTGTCCTCCAATGTTATCAATCTGCAATTGCTGACCTCTCTTCGACTTCGTAATCACGGTCATTCGTCTTTTCCACATGCCCTGCAACGCAATCAGCTCCACACTCGATTGTTTCATCCGAAGCGCATACCCGTCTTCATCATGACCTGCGTCGTCGCGCGATTGACATTCTTCTTAAACCCTGCTTCATATTAGACCCCTCTGCTCGGGATTGCGGGGTGAAGGCTGTCCTACCCGCCCACGACATGTTGAAAGAATTGCTGGTAGAAAATGAATTAAGTGGTTTTCGTTTACGTGTGTAATTCGACGAAAGGGCTCAAATACGCTCGAGGGTATATCGTTGTAAAGTTGCACAGGAGTTGGCAGGCAATAAACATGGAAGTTGGGGATAGAGTGACGACAAAACTGGAGCTCAGCCACACTAACTTAGTCTGGAGTGCCTGAAGCAGCCCAATCGGCTGATCGACGTCAGTGATGGGGCTGTGTTAGGTTGAGCTCTAGTCACAGTGCAGTTCGATGCACGTGATTGCGCGTGGAGGCCTGAGTTTGAATTGGGAGGAACGAATTTGATCTGCGTTTTTGATACTCGATACCGCGTCAGGATGTTCAATCCCCGCTTTCTCGTTGTCAGCCTGGGCAATCCCTTGCCCAAATACGAAAGTCTACATTCTGCCGGTCATTTCGCTCTCAATGGCCTCGCTCAAGTCTTACGTCAACCCTCGTTTCGAGAGGTGGCATTCGGAGGTCAGACATGCCTAGTATCTCAAGGTCCCAAATACACTCTGGTTCAATCGCCTACTCTGATGAACATTTCTGGTCGGTTTGTCGCAAAGGCGTGGAAAGAAATGACCAATCAACATGACCCCTCATCACTCAGTCTAGTGATTGTTCACGATGAACTCGAAAAGGACTTGGGCATTGTGCGGCTCACGGCGTGGGACCGAAGTCACAAAGGGCACAATGGTATCAAAAGTGTCAAGGGATCTCTTTCACAAAATAAATACCCCACGTCGCCGTTTGTGCGAATTGCCGTTGGGATTGGACGACCCGCCGAGAGAGACCCCGAGACCGTTAGCCGTTACGTTCTTGATCGGATATCAAGCGACAAAAGGAGAATTCTAGAAGAAGAAGCACCATGGAAAGTCGCCGAGTGCCTTGTTGAGCTGGAAAAAGAATGGAAGGCTGAGCTCAAGACATGATTCGACCGCCTGGACAGGGTCCTATCAACTGCGACAATGCAACACCGGAATACGGGTGCGCCAGTAATAGCATTTTGTCTTAGGAAAAGCAAAACGCATGTGCAGCCTGGAACGGTTTCTTTACAGCTCTGTTTTCAGGCCAACGTCGAAGCAGGCCATGAGCAATCAAAATGGACATTTGACTACGGTCAAGTATGCCATGTCACGCACCAAAGACATTTGTCCAATCATACCAAAATACTATCAACAGAGATACCCAACTGAGATACCTGACTTCCGCGTCCGTTTTCGTGACCACGCATGCACCGAATCCCGATTCCGCACTTCATTATCAAACCGCTCAACTGCGCCGGACTCGATTCTGAGTTACGAGTCTCCCGAATTGCACATTCATCGCATATTTGCCGAGTGTCCTACCTGAAGTTTGAAGGTATGCAGAGATCCCTTATCTTGCGCTAAAGACGCCACAGGCGACCTAGCTCACAAACGGCACTCCAACTTCTGTAAGTTCCTTATCTATGCCAAGGGTATGGCCAATTTTGCACATTTCAACTTGTCCAATGGCCTTTGGATCGTACCATCACATGAAGCTGGTTATCGCGTCGTGGTGTATATTCTGATATCACATCTTGCAGCTGAAATGAGCTGAAACCTTTACGAAATGCCTTGTTTGATGGTGTCCTTGCTGTCTGATAAGGCATGCAATGCAAGAGTGTTGGTAATCATTACCATCCGGTCGTTCCATGGCCTGCTCGTTCTCGGGAAATGATGTAGCAATTGCCGTTCGTGTCGAAGAACACTCGTCTGTGTGGGAGCCGATAGATATCTCAAGCAGTTGACGATGGTTGCAAAGGTCGATACCAGGAAACTCCAGGCAGAGTTGTTGAAGATGTTCAACGTCGAAGTAAGCTTAGACTTGGAGAACCAGTCAACTTGTAGTGGACGCAGGTCCAGCTTATATACATGGTCCCCGATCATATCTATCGTCGTAGCGGGCGACTCGCATACTGACGCGCGCAACAGAGGCTCAATCTAGGGCGTTGCGGGCGCAAAAGCATCTTTGACAGTTGAGAATCCGGGGAAACGATGTCAATCACATCAATTCTTGGCCACTTGAAGACCGTGTGCCCATGTGGCTCTCAATATGCTTATTTTCTTCCATGTCTATCACCAGATCTTTGGGAATGGAACACAACCATATTCTACGTGACACCGGTGATCCTTTGACCCGAGAGGAGGTTCAGTACCTCGCACAACACGTCAGACACACAGAGTTTCAACAATAAGCATCCTCGAACAGACAGCAACTTCACTCCAAATCTGGCTCCAACGCTCACGCTTTGAGCCCGTCTATCTTTATCAAGTATCGGCCGAGCTACACGACACTCAGACTCTCAAGAGAACAAGGATCCTTGTCCTTGTCCAGGGTCTCGACGCTAGGTGCTCCACCGAAGCTGCCAAGAGATAAGGAAACATCCAATCAGACATGCTCTATTCGACCTCCTTCAACGGTTCGACCTGGAATTCGGCAACCTTGAGGACAAAGTCAGATAAGAACTCTGGCCGGGTTATGCGGTGCGTCTGGGGAAGCGCAATATTGAGTGCATGTCGCACAAGAGGGTGTCGAGGCTTCTCTCTGTACTCGGAGCTTTCTCGCCATGTAACTCTGGTCTTAGGACACCATTTCGACGTGTCAGAGTCAACACATCAAGAGCTTAAAGATGCTTAAAATAAGTCTAACAATAACGAATCAGTGTGGCATACTCAGCACTAGAACTTCAATTGCGGCCGTCCGGATATACATACTCCGTACAAATCCTCTGGTTCCTCAGTAAGCATGGCCCGGGATACACTGCCGATATCGACAGCAATCTCCCCTCCCAGCCGTGCATCAAAGGAGTCAAATGCCTACAATTTAGGCCAAGAGGAGATATTCATTGCGGGCCAACTGCCAAGCAGAGGTTGCAATCCGGAGGTCCTATAGGGATATTGGTGCTTATCAGCACAGCCTATTTAAGCTTGGGTGTGGCGTCCATCCCAATACAACCGGATCGGAATGCTAGAGTGTGATAAGCAGCGATGGTGTGTGCCAGACTCAGGAACAACCAAACAGGGGACCGTTTACACAACCACGACTTCGCTTCTGGCGCAAACCACTTGTGTCAAGTCAACGTCAACGCGTTGCTACAGGATCATCACATTCAAGCTTATCATGGGACAAAGTCTTGGAATCGTGGAAGATCATCATCTAGCTCAGCTTGGCACCTGAGCATCAACACCCGTGTGACATCTCAGCATCCAAATACGGGTTCACCAAAGTCCAAACCGAACATGTAATGTGGTGGAGTATCCTTCCTATTGCTGCTTAAGCTACGGGCGTCTTATCAAGTATCCCCCACACTTATGTGCCATACCCTCCCCCTGATTACCACGTTCGTTATTTCCTGGCCGTCGTCGCAAGCTCCGTGAGTCAAGACATATTTAGCCCTGTGGCCCCGGGGTTCTTCATCCTTTCAATCACTCCATTCTTCCCAGCTAAAGTTGAAGCTGAAAAAGGGTTTCGACCGGCGCAAAGGTTTGGATCAAAGAATCCGCGTTCAAGCGCAGCCTCTCGTCAAGATGACCACTCCTTACAATGGCACCACTGATCATGCCGACTATGGCTACTCAACCCATGTGCATGATCTCAACATCTTCTACGACGTAGGTTTTCCAGGTGTATCTCACTGTGTGATATTGTCTAACATTGTCTAGACGGGCAACTTGACGTTCCTCGCTGTCAGCGCCGTGCTTGTGCTTCTCATGATTCCCGGCGTCGGCTTCTTCTACAGTGGTCTCGCTCGTCGCAAGTCTGCTCTGACGCTCATTCTGTTGTCGATGATATCAGTTGCGGTCATCAGCTTTCAGTGGTTCTTCTGGGGATACTCCTTGACCTTCTCGCGAACTGGAAACTCATTCCTCGGTGACTTGACCCAGTTTGGTCTCATGGACACCCTCGCTCAGCCCAATGGCTCCTCTGCTCTCCCTGACATTCTCTTTTGTCTGTATCAGGGCATGTTCGCTGCCATTACGTGAGTACTTTTCAAGAACTGAAGAGTTCACTGTCCTAACATCACCAGTCCTGCCCTTGCCATCGGTTGCGTTGCTGATCGAGGTCGCATCCTCCCCGCCATCGTCTTCATGTTCCTTTGGTCCACCATCGTCTACGACCCCATCGCCTACTGGACCTGGAACGCCAATGGCTGGCTCTTCAACCTTCCCAGCTACGACTTTGCTGGAGGCGGTCCCGTTCACGTCTCATCAGGAACCTGCGCGCTCGCCTACTCCCTCATGCTCGGGAAGCGTACCGGCTACTCCAACAACAACGGTCTTCCTTACCGCCCCCACAACGTCACCCACGTTGTTCTCGGCACGGTCTTCCTCTGGGTCGGTTGGTTCGGCTTCAACGGTGGTTCTGCTCTCGCCATGAACATCCGCGCTGTCATGGCATGCTACGTTACCAACCTGGCTGCCTCATGCGGTGCCATTGCCTGGATCCTCCTCGATTACCGTCTCGAGAAGAAGTGGAGCACCATTGGTTTCTGCTCCGGTGCCATTTCTGGTCTCGTTGCCATCACTCCTGCTGCTGGTTTCGTGAAGCCTTGGGCTGCTGTCATCATTGGAATATGCGGTGGTATCTTCTGCAACTTCGCCACCAAGGTCAAGTTCCTCATCAACGTCGACGACAGTCTTGATATCTTTGCCATCCATGGTATTGGTGGTATGGTCGGCAACATCCTCACCGGTATCTTTGGAACGTACGTCTCCCCCTTTCTCTTCTTTAGAATGACACCTGCTAACTCACAAAAGCAAAACCATTGCCGCTCTCGACGGTGGAGAGTACGACCCTATTGGTTGGGTTGACGGTCACTTTGTTCAGCTGGGTTACCAAATCGCTGGTACTCTCGCTGTCTTTGCCTGGTCCTTCACTCTCACTTGCATTCTCCTCTTCCTTCTCAACCTCATCCCTGGCCTTTCCCTTCGTGTCTCCCCTGAGGAGGAGGAGCTCGGCACTGATGATGGTCAGCTTGGCGAGTTTGCCTATGACTATGTTGAGATGACTCGACACATGGCTGACAGCACACACCCTCATTCTGATGCTAGTGCCCGAACAAGTCAGGAGAAGGTCTAACTCAAGAATGGGGATTAGTGAAATATGGGCGGTTCAAATTGTCAGAGTGGAAGATGCGTGTTGTGTATCTTGAGCGTCACTCGCTTCTAAGTTTAGAGTTAATTATACCCTTTTGTAATGCATTCTGAGGCTTTTCCCTACCGCGTTGATGTGTCCACTATAAGCACAAACGGCACGAACATATCACTTCTCACTACCAATTCGAGGGCAGTTCTCGCATAATCATGAATAAGCATATAGACCCATTGGCCGTTGATATTTGATTGTCATAAATTACAACCCCTACAAACCGTTTCCTCAGGGGTCCTTTATACTCCTATCAAGGGCTTAAAACCAAAGCACGTGAGTTCTCATTGTCATGCCTCCCGCTTCCTTCTTTGTCCTGTGGTATCTTGGTCTTTGCCGTCAAAAGTCGTCGCCGAAAATCACGGCATGCTAAGCACAAAACTCCATATAAGCTCCTGTGTCCTCTAGCCATTGCGTACGTAAGCGAAAGCGTGTATAATCTAATGCTGGTGACTGTTAGTTGCGTCTCTGGCTGTAGTCGAGCTATCTTACCATGAACAGGGAAAGTGAATAACGAAAAGAATCCGCTAGTGTCATTTCTACAGCTAAAGCAAAGTGTCGGTCATTCAATTCATGGCGTCAGATTGGTCACCGTTCTCTTGGGGTCGGTGGATAGTCGCAGTGCTTGCGCCGGTCGAGGACTCCCCGTTCCCTGGATGCCCGTGTCCAAGAGGTGCTGCGCTCGCTTGGCTAGTGGTATGCTGTGATGATCCGCCTTCTAGTAGGTTGTTAATTCTGCTCTGATTAAAATATGGCTCAAGCA